CGACTTCTAACTGTTCTAAGATCCCCCCAACAAAATGGAGTAGCGGAACGGAAGAATAGAACCATCCTCAACATGACAAGGAGCATGTTAAAAAGCAATAGATTGCCGAAGGAGTTTTTGGCAGAAGCGGTTGCATGTGCTGTTTATTTGGCTAACCGATCACCAACAAGAAGTGTGTTGGGAAAGACACCACAAGAAGCATGGAGTGGAAGGAAGCCTGGCATCTCTCATCTACGAGTTTTTGGATGCATAACTCATGTACACATACCCGACGAGAAAAGAAGTAAGCTGGATGACAAGAGTGAGAAGTTCATTTTTATTGGTTACGACAACAACTCGGAAGGCTACAAGTTATACAATCCAAATACAGGGAAAACAACCATCAGCAGAGATGTCATATTCGATGAAGGAGAAGAATGGGACTGGGGACTACATGCTGAGGACTACAACTTTTTCCCATACTTTCAAGAAGAAGACGTAGAGCAGCCAAGGATCGAGGAAGAAAGAGAAGAGCCAACTACTCCACAAACAACAAGTAATCAAAGCAACTCATCGTCATCAACTTCACAAAAAAATTCAAGTGAAAGAGTACCACGCTTCAGGAGAATAGAAGATCTTTATGAGGTAACTATGAATCAAGATAATCTTACTCTTTTTTGTCTCTTTGCCGACTGTGAACCCATGGACTTCCAAGAAGCCATACAAAGCAAGAAGTGGAAAGATGGAATGGATGAAGAAATTAAGGCGATCGAGAAGAACGACACATGGGAGCTGGCTTCACTTCCTAAAGGGCATAAGGCAATTGATGTGAAGTGGGTGTACAAAGCGAAGAAGAATTCCAAAGGAGAAGTTGAAAGATACAAGGCAAGATTAGTGGCAAAAGGCTACAGTCAAAGGGCAGGCATCGACTATGATGAGGTATTTGCCCCTGTTGCTCGATTGGAAACTATTAGACTAATCATCTCTTTGGCAGCTCAAAATAAGTGGAGAATACATCAAATGGATGTAAAATCTGCCTTCTTGAATGGAATACTTAAAGAAAAAGTCTACATTAAGCAGCCACCAGGATATGAAATCAAAGGGCAAGAAGACAAGGTTCTAAAGCTAAAAAAGGCTCTATACGGGCTAAAGCAAGCACCAAGAGCATGGAATAGCCGAATAGACAAATATTTGCAGGAGAAAGGCTTCATGAAGTGTCCTTATGAGCATGCTCTTTACATCAAGAATGAGGATGAAAATGTCTTGATTGTTTGTTTATATGTTGATGACTTGATCTTCACAGGAAATAATCCAAGCATGTTTGAAAAGTTCAAAGAAGCGATGACAAAGAAGTT